CCATCACAAACACCAGACTAAAGAAACATAAAATATTAAGCACGTAATCCGATGGATATATAATTGAATATATAGTCTCTTAAACATAATGTAAAACAAAGTCAGAAACTTAAAGGAGTATCCTGACTAGAATAATGTAAACTTCGCTAAATGTAATTAAATTTACTTATTGTCTCAAACGGCGAGACAGATTGTAAATAAACGTGGAAATAATAAAAAAAAAAAAAAAAAAAAAAAATATTGCTCGAACGGTCGACGTGTGGTGTGATATTCAAACGTCTGGACAACAACAAAAATCAGGCAGGCATCTCGAGCGAACGGGTACATAATATTTTGCACCAACATTTGGACATGAAAAAGCTATCCGCTAGATGGACGTCGCGATTACTCACAATTGACCAAAAACGAGATCGTGTGAAGTACTGCAAGAATGGTTTGCAGCTGTTTCAGCAAAATCCGCAAGACTTTAAGCGTCGTTTCATCACTGTAGATGAAACATGGATGCATCACTACACTTCTAAGATCAAAGAACAGTCTAAACAATGGGTTACCAAGGGGGTATCTACTCAAAAAAGGCGAAGACAATTCCTTCGGCCGGGAAGGTTATGGCGACTGTCTTTTGGGATTCGCAAGGAATAATCTTCATCGACTATCTGGAAAAGAGTAAAACCATTACAGGCGAATATTATTCATCGTTATTGGATCATTTTAAAACCGAGTTGCTAGAGAAACGTCCACGATTGGCCCACAAAAAAGTCCTCTTCCACCACGACAATGCGCCAGCTCACGCCTTAGCAGTTGTGGCCGCAAAACTGATGGAGATAGGGTTCCAACTCGTTTCACATCCCTCCTATTCTCCAAACTTAGCTCCGTCGGACTACTATTTATTTCCTAATATGAAAAAATGGCTGGCGGGGAAAAGATTTTATTCAAACGAGGAGGTGATTGCAGAAACAAATGCCTATTTTACAGACTTGGACAAATCCTATTATTTAGAAGGGATTAATAAACTAGAGCAGTGTTGGATGAAGTGTATAAGCCTAAAAGGAGACTATGTTGAAAAATAAAAAAGATTTATTAAAAAAAATCAAGCAGTTTTTATTTTTGCACGGACTTTTCAAATGACCCTCGTACATTATATCATTTACTTATTGGTATCAGATAGATTGTAAATAAAATTTAGAATATTAAAAAGAATTTTTTTACTTCTCACTTTTAAATGATTTACAAAAGTATCGTGAAATATATGTATTGTACTTTGCTCAAAATTGATGTAACGATAATAATAACGAGACACCGAATTGTCCGACTGACACGGTAGGAAGTCTGAGATACAGTAATGGACTTGAACTCTTACGAACTAAACTGCAAAAGCATATGGAAAGTATTTTACTGCTTTTGTACATAAACAATCATTTTCGATATTTGCAATTTAGATAGTACTCGCTTGCTACATCATAATTCGGTGAGTACGACGTTTATTTCGCAGTGCATTTGCTTGTGTTGAAAGTTCATGAAAGTTCAATAATTTCTTGCGAACGTGTAGAAAATTTGGTTTCTTCAAGTTCGAGAATTTCGGAATTTTATGTGCGATGTTATAAGTTAAAACTATGCAAAAATACGTCGTGAGACATGACACTATTGCAAATCTGGAAACACCTGAAAAAGAAAATATTCTACTTCAAACAGCAACGTAATTTCTTGAAATCAATAAATACAATTATAGATATTATTCACTGAAAAGTAGAAAATTTAGATTTTAGATTTACTTTCAATATATAAGAAATCACTTATATAAAATAATGTAGCGTACCTTTTAGGTTTTGAAATGAGCAATCCAAATACGAGCTGAAAAATTATTACATTACGAGGGTGGTCCAATAAGTACTTAGTCTACAAAAGAAAAACGAAAATTTTGGAAAAGTGGCGTTTTATTTTTCAACATAGTCTCATTTTAGTTCGATACACTTGGCCCAGCGATGTTCCAACTTCTTTAACCCGTCTGAAAAAAACGTTTCCTCGAGGTCTGAAAAGTAGGCTTCCGTGGCAGCGATTACCTTTTCATTCGACTCAAATTTCTGCCCGGCAAGTGACTTTTTCAAGTTTGGAAACAAAAAGAAGTCGCACGGGGCTAAATCTGGAGAATACGGTGGATAGGGCAGCAGTTCGTAGCCTAATTCGACCAATTTGGCCATGGCGACGGCGGAGGTGTGAGCCGATGCGTTGTCATGGTGGAAGAGCACTTTTTTCTTCGCCAAATGGGGCCGTTTTTTCTGCAATTCGACGTCGAATCGGCCCAATAATTCGGCATAGTACAGCCCTGTGATAGTTTTGCCCCTCTCCAGGTAGTCGATGTAGATCACACATTGTGAATCCCAGAAAACGGTGGCCATCACCTTTCCGGTCGATGGGGCAGTCTTCGCCTTCTTCGGAGCACTTTCGCCGGGTAAAGTCCACTGTTTCGACTGTTCCTTGGTCTCTGATGTACGAGGTGTGATCAAAAAGTAAGGTGAATTTTTATTTTTCTCAAAAAATATTTATTTATTCATCAATTTTTATTTTATCTCCTTCAAAGTAATCCCCCTCGGATATAATGCACTTGTGCCAACGCTTTTTCCAATCCTCAAAGCATTTCAAAAAATCATTTTTTGTGATCTTGTTTAGTTCATCCTTCGATGCCGTCTTTATCTCCTCAATCGTGGCAAAACGCCGTCCTTTCATGGGCCTCTTCAGTTTTGGGAACAAGAAGAAGTCACAGGGGGCCAGATCTGGGGAATACGGTGCCTGTGGCATCGTTACTGTGTTGGTTTTAGCCAAAAATTCGCGCACAAGCAATGATGTGTGAGCGGGGGCGTTATCATGGTGCAAAAGCCAATTTTTATTTTTCCACAAATTCGGACGTTTCTGGCGGATTGCTTCGCGCAAATTGCGCATAACTTGCAGGTAATATTCCTTATTTACTGTTCTACCCTGTGGCAAGAACTCATGATGCACCACGCCCCTGCAGTCAAAGAAAACTGTAAGCAAAACCTTTACATTTGATCGAACTTGGCGTGCTTTTTTTGGTCTTGGTGATCCAGAATGCTTCCACTGGGACGATTGAGTCTTAGTCTCGACGTCATAACCGTATACCCATGTTTCGTCACCTGTTATAACCCTGTTGAGTAAATCTGGATCATCGTTGACGTCATTCAGTAGCTCTTGGATGATGCTCATGCGACGTTTCTTTTGGTCGAAATTGAGCAATTTCGGAACAAACTTCGCTGACACACGTCTCATGTCTAAAACACTCGTCAAAATTGATTGGCACGAACCAAATGAGATGCCAATATCATCAGCAATTTCTCTAATGGTAATTCGACGATTTCCCAACACACTATTTTCTTCACTTCTTCAACATTCTCATCAGTTGTTGATGTGCTGGGGCGTCCAGAACGAGGTTCGTCGTCGGTGTCTTCTCGGCCTTCTTGGAAGAGTTTATACCACTTGTAAATATTTTTTTGGCTTAAAGTAGACTCACCGTATGCCACCTTCAGCATTTCAAGTGTTTTGGAACATTTTATTCCATTTTTCACACAAAATTTAATGCAAACTCTTTGATCCATGTTTTTAGACAGCAGCAAATCGTGGAGCACGCAAAACACTTCTAACCTTGATGCCTCTCACAAACAAACCAAACATACTACAAAGCTGAAATTTGGAACGTATGTTTTAGACGAGTGTACCGACATAACCAAATAAAAAAGTCGAAGATCGAACGGACGTAGCCCGCTAAATTTCAAAATTCACCTTACTTTTTGATCACACCTCGTATACTAGTGGATCCATGTTTCGTCAACTGTCACGAAACGACGCAGAAACTCCTTCGGATTGCGCTTAAACAGCGTCAGACATTGCTCTGAGTTTGTCTCACGGTTGCGCTTGTTGTCCGGAGTGAGCAAACGCGGCACCCATCGCGCCGACAGCTTTCTCATGCCCAAAATTTCATGCAGGACATGACCCACGCGGTCTTTTGAGATGCCTACGATCTTAGCTATCTCGCGCACCTTCAATCGTCGATCTGCCAATACGAGATCGTGAATTTTTGTCACGTTATCCTGCGTGGTAGCCGTTTTCGGAGCACCTGGACGTGGCTCTTCAAAAATCGACGTGCGACCACATTGAAACTCGTTAAACCAATTTTTGACGGTCGCCATCGAAGGAGAAGAGTCACCGTACACAGCATCCAAGCGCTTTTTGATTTCGCTGCGCGATTTCCCTTCCAAAAACAAGAATCGAATCACCGACCGATACTGCTCTTTTTCCATTTTTCAAAAATCAACGGACACACTTGCTTTCACACGTTTTCAAAAATAAACTACAACTCCGATCCGGCTAAAATCTTGACAGTAACCATTGAGAAGGTTGTACTATGTGATAGAATATTTCTTTTACGAGAGTGGCGCCATCGGGCTGTGAGGCTAAGTACTTATCGGACCGCCCTCGTATTGCAAGATTAGTGAGAAACACCAAGTAAAACATTCGACTGTAAAATGGTTAGTTTTTTGAGATTTTCAGTAATTCAGTTCATGTACTGGTTTTTGAGTCTCTACTATAACATGATAAAAAAATTTAAAATAGAACTTTGAAAGTTTTTCAAAGTTCGTAATTTTTATAAATTTTTATTATTATAACTATGTAACTTTTGTGCAAGCATTCACATAGAGTCTCTTTATTTAGAATAACTTCGGTAGGATATTACTTAATAAAATTGATTTACGGTAATTTCGTTTAGTTTATTTTGTTTTGAGTGAGTGGAAAATTAAATAATTCTAATGTCAACTTTTTTCGCCATTACTTCTGACATTTATACACATATATTGGCAAGTTCAGAGATAAATCTTGATTATCTTATTAAATCTTAGTACAATATTCAATGTTAATACAATATCCAATAATAATATAATAAAATCTTTTGCATCATGTTTTGAACACATTTGAAACAAGAATATATCTTTTACCTTGAAACCAAGTTCACCTGGATTTTCAGGCTCAAAGTCGTAAAGAGCTGTACAACAAGGTTGTTTTTGTGCTTGCAATGGACTTCTTGCTGGAGATTTACTAGGTGAAGGTAAAGGTGATACTGAAACGAAAATGTATTTTTGTAATATTAAGAACTAATAAGATTTTGAACATAAGAAAGTTAATTCGGAAATGATTAGTATTTATACTTAATACTTTATGTAATTTGACTATTCTTATATAATATCGAAGTAAATTTGAAAGACATCATGATTAAAATATCTGAAAAGCTTTGTTCATTTTCAAACATTATTATATTATTTTTTTGTGTGTATAAATTCAGTAAATATACTAGTATTTAAAAATCTAAGCTAACCAAATGAAAACTGCAAATTTAAAAATTTTTTTTTATTTCAGGTTCATTTTTAGGTTTCGAAAGACATTTACTAAATATTTAATGCTTTATCGAATATTATACATGATATTTTTTTTATAATGCGACAGATGATTTTGTAAAAAATTACTATTTATTTAAATGTTTTATATTTTACATACTACACATCCTAACAAAATGGTAAAAAGAAGAAAGGTGTGTTTTCGAATGGAGAATAAAGTTAAAATAATTTTATCGCAAAAAATTTTTTTTTAACTTTATTTTAATTTTTTTTAACAACGTTAAACGCTTACGTCTCCTTACAGTTGCTAGTTCTTCACTTGTATATAAACAGCAATAGCGCGATTGCTGTGTAACTTTATTTACATTTTTGGTACACGTAATATTTGTATCAAATTTTGCTACATATTAGTAAATTTTCATTTAATCGCAAGATCAAAATAGAGTGTTATAATATTTATGAGTATACAGTATGTATTCGTTTTGCCAAGATGGGTCGAAAAGCTATAGTAAATTGCACGAAACAACATGGTTGGCTATTGTTGTATTAAATGACAATAAACTTTCGTATCGAAGAATTTGTGAAAAATTAAATGTTACAGTGGTATAAAGACAACTGTAGATAGGTACGTATAAATAAGAACGTGGCTTTAAAAGCCGTAATTGCGAATTTCGTTCTCGTAAAACAACTATGAGTCAAGATAAGCAATCGCTCCGCGATCGCATCCCGTAATTGCGATTCCCACAGGTCAGGTCAATCGGTCGGTGTAGAAGCACTCGAGAGAATCAAAAGATGGTTTACGCACCCACTAGTCGCGGATCAACCGGTCAGGTCGTTGATCCGTGAGACTTATGTTGATTCGCGCATTGCCGATCACGATGTAGATTCAACGAAGTACTTACAGATAATATTCGACTAAGCTCTCGTGTTCTCTCTCTCTCTCTCTCTTTTGTAGCTATGAAAATGTCTCCTTCTTTTCGCGCAGTGGTTGAAGATCTGCGCCTACTCATATCCCTTCTCGGTTGTCTCGCTCGTACTCACGCTATCATTCCCTCTCCGCTCTCTTTAGCTCACATTTATTGCCGGTCGCATCATAACATGGCCGCCGCTCGGCTCCCGCATCAACATCGCGTCTTATCATCGCTCTCCATGATCGCTTGTCGGTACTTGCAAGATCGGTTCGTACGTGTGTGTATGTCGGACTACTTTCGGGTTCGTTGATTGGGTGTTGTCCAATGCCAGTGTGTGCAGTGCCCCCCCCCCCTTGTATGGCCAGCTTTCAGAATCAACTGATCTCGGCTGTAGTCTTCTTCGTCGCTTCATTTCTTGGAGAAATGTCTATCCAGGTTCCCGTGTGTGAGAGTGTTTGTGCTCGGTTGTAAAGGTGGTGCGCGTAAATCGGGCGGGTTCTGAGAGGTCTTTTTCGCGAGGTCTTAAGGCGACGTTTAGGCGTAGCTATATGAGTTTCAGCGTCAGCTGATCGACTGTTTTCGTTCTCTTGTCGAGAGAGGATTTTCGTGTGTTACGCGAGTTTTGCAGATTCGAGGTTTTCTTTACGTGATGTGCATCATAACAGTACTTATTTCAACATAAACAAGCGTAATATATTGGATGATATTAATAATATATAGTCATCATAATGACTTAAAAATTATCATGAAACCTTACGAAATAGATAAGAATTTTCGTCTACATCCATCCGCATACCATTTAAAAAAGGTAGAACTGGTTGATAAGTAGTCATCGAGTAAATTTTTCAATAGTGCGAGTACTACTATAATCCAACATATTTGAAATATCCCGGCGTGTATGAGTCACACACACACATACACTAATATGCAAACACAATGGTACACATATACACAAAGGCACATACACGTACACAAACTCCGCCTCCGCCGGTCCCAAGCCCGGGGTCCCGCTAGTCAAAAAGCAGGGACGGAGAAGGGAGAGGAGTATCAACCTCGTTAATCTCCAAGATTCATCTAGTGGCAGTATCAGATGTGCAGTCTTCAACGTGCCCGTCAAGAAGAAACCGGAAAAACGAAAATCAGGATACTGCAACATAATTGGAACCACTGTGAGGCGGCGCACGACCTCTTGACTCAAGCGGCCAGAGAAATGAAAACAGAACTGATCATTGTCGCTGATCTATATACGAGACCTAGGGCGGAGGTATGGGTAACAGACGCTCAAGGCAAGGTAGCAATTTGGTCCTGCATAAATAAGACATTCGAGGATGAAGTGGATAGAAGACAGAATGGCTTCGTCAGGGCCAAGCTAAAAAATGTTCACTTCTACAGGGTATTTGCCCCTTCGAGTCTAAGTATCGGTGAGTTTACAGACTTACTTGACAGACTTATGAAGAATGCAAAGGAGCACTTTCACAATATCATAGCTGGGGATTTCAACGCCTGGGTAGTTGAATGGAGTAGCAAAAAAGCGGATGCACGAGGAAATGAACTACTATTGGCAATGTTATGCTTGGATATCGTCCTCCAGAACACTGGCACTCTGCCGACGTTCGAGACGGACAATGGAAGTTCGATCGTGGACCTGACCTGGGTCAGCATTAACCTGGTTAGAGGAGGAAATGACTGGAAAGTCCATGACATTTTTAATGCAAGTGATCACCGAATTATTAGTTTTACTGTGACAGTTGAAGAAGAAGAAAGAAGAAGACCTTCATACAGAAGAACCAATTCCAAAGGATGGAATGTGGATAAATTTGATGCGGAACTATTCCAAAACGCGCTAGAAATTAGCCCAATCATGACTAAGCACAAGCTAGTGCACAAGAGGAGGCGAAAGAAGTGATATACAGAGTTACTTATGCGTGCGATGCCACAATAACACGGAAGCGGCAAAACAACGATCATCTGCCCATGTATTGGTGGAATAATGACATTTCCAAAAGATGCCAAAAAAACATATAAGCTAGAAGAAAAGCCACACGAATCAGGAAGAAAACAATCTACGAGGAACTCAAGGAGGCTCGCAATATAGTACGACTTGAGCTGCTGAAGGCAATTAAGAGCAGTGCTGGAAAGAAATGGTCAAAGAAGTAGAACATGACTCATGGGGTAAACCATATACAGTAGTAATGAAAAAAGTGAAACCCCAATCACTGTCATCGCCTTCATGCCCGGTTCTGCTAGAGAAGATTGTCGCCAATCTCTTCCCACATCAATCGGAACTACAAACCGGTGATCTCAATCCGAGAGGACAGACAATACTACCGATAACATCAGTTAGTGTATGTGTGTTGTCACACTTTTCCGATTTGAGGGAGGCACAGCGTAATCAAACATTACCACCCTTCTCACTGGGCGCCAACAGGTTGGCATAGCCCACTGTCTTTCACTCCTTCGCTTTCAAATATTTTTGGAGATCCGGAAGTCAAGTTTGCTGCGACATCCCTGACGCACACAGCGAGTCGGAACCTTTTTCATCTAAGGCGGCGACCTCCTCGAGAGGAGTACCGATCTTTCCAAGGTTCAACGCTCAAGGAGAGCGGAACTAAAGGCTTGACCCCGCAGAGGCCAACTCAAGATTGGGATGTCACAATAGTGGCACCTACCGATTGCCAGTCGATAGGGAGTAATTTCTTATCTATCCAAATTAGATTCGGATTGCCGGGACCATTGGTCCTCTGCAACCAGCTCCCGGAGCGGTCTCCCGTCCTCTAAGAGGGCGCATGGTACCACAATCCCAAGAGATTTCCCCTCAAGTGATTCCCGGATTTTGGCTTTTCTGGGCTTGAGTTGAGCTCTTAGGGTGCGGTAGACTCCACGTTGAATGTTTGGGCGTTTTCGGGCCGCACCTCACCACGTACTGTCATGGTCCGTGTTGTTTATTGTCGTTTAGCCTATTGGCCATTTGCCCTAGGGGTGAGCGTTGTGTGTTTTGCCTACTGTTTTTTAACAGAAACAGCGTTTTCAGCCCCACCACGTGAAGGTACACACATCCGCACATGTGATTGCAAGTCTTCGTTCAAATAAACATTGCATTCACTTCGGGTCGACTAGCATTAGTTGCTTGTCGAGGGCAATCGGTGACGCATTTTGTACTTCAGCATTTGCATTTGCTCATGCCCGTACAGGTAAGAGAAGTTTACGATATCCTCTTCCAAAACAACAAAGTGTTTGTTTGAGAAGTCTCCACTCTCTGTTAAGGAAGACAACTACTGTCCGCCGCTTTGACAAAAGATTTTTGTACAAGGTGACCTGGCCAGCCGCGAGGCTGGCCATATGGTGCACTATGTGCATCATCCATGTTTTTGCTAAGCGGATTATAATCGAGCTTCCTGAGAGCGTCGTGATCGCAATCGCCTACCGATAACATCAGAGAAGCTCAAGATTACAGCTGCAAGACTAGGAAACAAGAAAGCCCCTCGACCCGATGGTACCACTGAAAAACAATAAAGATAGCGCCGGACATGTTTCTCCACATGTATAACATATGCTTCCAAGAGGGTTATTTCCCTGCCAAATGGAAGCTACAGAGGCTTGTCCTCCTTCTGAAAGGAAAAAAGCCACCACACGAACCTTCAGCATATCGTCCCCTCTGCATGCTTGATTCGGCGGGCAAGATCCTTGAACGAATCATGTACACCAGAATAAAGGTGATAGCCGAAGAATACCTATCGAACAAGCAGTTCGAATTCCGAGAAGATCAACAGTCGATGCTATCAATCTAGTAGTCAATACCGCAAAGAACGCGATTA